GGGTCTGGGACTCCGGGACACATCGTAATAATGATTGTAAACAGTAAAATTTCCTCCATGTCGCCGAAAAAAGGAAACAAAGCGAACCCAGGCGACGAAAATGTACTGTTGCTAAACTGTTGTCGCCAAAGGCCTTATTTCTGTCTCAAGCTGTAAAGTTATTTTGAGACATTCTCGATTCACACATTGCTTGCACGTGACCAAAATCTTCCACCATCAGTGTTAAAATCTACCGAATGATCTATTCGTGAACGAAAACTCTCACCAAGAATGACTTCAACAAGGTTTAGACTTTTTATGGAGAAGCCACAAGAAGTTGCCCGCTTGTGGACGCAAAAAGAAGTTCTTGCATGTGCATTATTTTTGGGCTGTACTGAAAGACAAAGAATTGAAAAAGACTCCCATAAATGACTGTGTATAAAAGAATTCGGCTTTTGCAGTCTGCTTCAGCAAAATCAGTTATGAATGTTCTCTGCATTTCAAGTTTACTTTCTTTGGCTCTCAGTCGTGAAATAAAGTAGTAACAGGAGCAGTTTCAAAGATTAAAAGCCATCTGTTCGAAATTATTTTTAAGTGAAATATGTAGCGGCACAGCACTATTCGAAATAAACAAAACGAATCATAATCATCAAGTTTATAAGCTGTTTGTTACTGCTCATTCGAAGATTTCATGAGCTGTTTGAATGTTTAGATCACCTGTTCGAAATTCTTTTATAAGCCGTTCGAACGGTTCCGTTACCCGTTCCGAATATTTTATGAGCCATTTGAATGGTTAGGCTACCTGTTCGCAATTTTTCCTGAGCCGTTCGAGCGGTTAGGCTACCTGTTCGCAATTTTTCCTGAGCCGTTCGAATGGTTAGGCTACCTGTTCGCAATTTTTCCTGAGCCGTTTGAACGGTTAGGCTACCCGTTTGCAATTTTTTCTGAGCTGTTCGAACGGCTAGGCTACCCGTTTGGAATACTTAATCGCCCATTTGCACACTCATTGAAACCCGTTTCAAACTGCCTGGTGACCCGTTTGTAACCCGTTCGATGGCCGTTTGTTTCACCTGTGTAACGGAAAGTCGTTAATGCACGTTTTCGCGTGAAAGGTCACGTTTAGTCAAATCAATAAATTTCCAAATCATGAACAGATATTAAAGCTTGAAACTGCAGTTCTTAAATGCTTTCAATCTCTGCAAAATAACAATAATACATGTACTGGGTGGAAATATTAGCTTACGTAACAGAATTCCTTTAGTTTTACCTTTTGCAGTTTTTCCACCAATGTGAAAACAAGTAAAGGATTCTTTTTATATTAAGCTTTACACTTGAAGTGTGAGAGGTGTCACTACAGTGACTATTCAAAGAACCCCGAAGGACTGAATCATTCAATATGACAATGCGTAAAACTGCCATCTTTGTTTGTTATGAAACCTTGCTTTCACATACATGTGGGAGCTCGAGCCTGCAATATATATATGTAAAAGAAATGGCTGAAAATGGTGAGCGGTTGAAAGAATGTGGTTGCATGCATGCATCCCAGGTAAATTATGGTACAGTTTGCCCCATGCCTTCAGATTGTAACAAAATTATAAGACGTGACTTCAATTGATCTTTCCATTTTAAATTTATTTAATCAAAAATTGTGCCAAAGTTTCAACTACTAGCCCTTTTATTTTGTATCCGTCAAGGCAAAACCTAGTCGCAAATTTGCAACTACTCTGGTTTTCCTAGTCGCAAATAAGGAAAATTAAGTCTCAAATGAGACTATTGGTCACAATTTCAAGTAATATATCAAACACGAGAGACGCTGTTTCATCAGGATATCCAAACACAGAGAAGAGAGTTGAAAATACGATGCGCAGTGGAGTATTTTTGATGAAATTCGAGGTGTTTGGATAGCCGATGAAACACTGTTTCGAATGTTTGATATATCTTTTCAATCGAAACAGAAACTAAGGAGTAAACTTAGAAATGAATAATTTGGGGTTTAATGAGTTTGGACTTGAGTTTTGATTTTGGATGTAATATCATATGTTGTACATAGCATTATTGTAATATATACACAAAGCCACACATGGTTTTGGCTCAATATTTTTTATTTCGCTTGATCAAAACAGACTATGTTTTGGTTAACCATTTGCTTAGGATTGTTGACACTGGTTTTTAGTGCAGAGTGCACTATTGGAATGGTTTGGGGGTTGATGTCGCTAAAGCACTATGGCGATAAGGCACTATGGCACTATGGCCCTATGGCCATAAGGTGTGAACTTTAATGTTTGTTGAATTAATTAATTTCAATTAATTAATTAGCATCGTTGGTAAGGGGGTGGGGTAGGTACCTCCGTTTTCTCTCTAAAACGTATTATACTTACATTACTCCCAAGATAACATCACAAACCTATATATGTTTTTGCAAATCTCTTGCTATCCTAGTAGTGCTATTCTCTCAAGAACAAAATCAATTTGCTTGAAACGCATGGGCAGATAACTTAGTCTTCAGTGTCCAGTTCTGGCCCTCTCTCTGTCACGCAACGCTACTGTTGCGTTGCTTGACAGATAGAGGGCCAGATCTGAACTATTTTGACCAGGGGATAGCAGCTGTATTTCAGGAAACATCAGTTCTCCCTTTTGTAGTGCAAATAACGCTACTGTGACTGCGTATCATCTGGAATCACCCCTAGCTCGATTCAAGAAATTTCATCTGCTGTTTTATAACTATTGCATGTTTGCCACGGTTCAAATAAAAAATGCTTCTCCATAACGGCTTGTCTATTTCCTCTTCTATGAAGGGAGCAAAAAGTTCATATTAAGCCAAACTTTCCCACGCTAGTAACATATAAAACTAATTAATTTGTGACACAAGAAACTTCAGAAATATTGCTGCAGACTCCGTGGCACTTAATGAACTCCAGTTAATTTCATCAGTCTTTGAGGTGACTCTCTCACCACTGTAGGATATAATTTCGCCCAAGTAATGATCTCTACCTTCAGTACTTCTCGTTGAAACGCTCCTTAGTTGTATTAAGGTCATTCCTCACATTTGCATTGCGCATCCTTACTGCACATAATTTATGGCGTCATTGAAAACATGACGGATTTGCCTTGATATTGAGCTCTGTCAGTTGAAAAATGGCTCTAGCTCACCAACGAGCATGGGCACCCCAATTTTTTTCCCAGTCATTGTAATCAACTAATCATAAGCTTTGCGTGAGAAAAGACTCATCTAATTTCTATTGCAGCTTTTATCAAAAACTTTGCCAAAAATCATGTGCAAGAGTTTACTTCTACTAATTATCACAAATTTCCATATTGTCTTATTTTTAGTGCAGAGTGCATTATTGGGATGGTTTGGGGGGCTGCTGTTTGCTAAGGTGCCAAGACGCTAAAGTTCTAAGACAAAAAGGCACTAAAAAAAAAAGGCACTAAGACAAAAAGGCACTAAGACAAAAAGGCACTAAGACAAAAAGGCACTAAGACAAAAAGGCACTAAGGCCGAAAGGCACTAAGGCACTAAGACACTAAAAGGTATAAACTTTAACCCATTGATGCCCGAATGAAATTGCACGCAAGCCATCCCTAAATTCCTGGCGATTTTTTAACATTTCAGAGCGAGTACGAGCACTTGAAATAAACCATAAAGTAAAAAAAGCTTTTCTTCCCATTCTTTTTGCAAAATATTTATCTCAGTCTTCTCAATTTGAAAAGCCAGAACAAAAGTTCGCATTTTTCATAAAAATTCACCTACCGTGATACCTTAAGGACGGTGTCTACTTTTGTTAGTGCACACATGCGGATCACGCAAGGCATGGTTAAAGTGCCATGCTGTGCTGGGTTGACATATTTGACGCAATCAAGTACGCTACCAGGTACGTTACCAAGTACATGACTAAAATGAAAGAAAAATTTTTCTGCTGCAACCAAATCAAGTTTAATGAACCTGTACTTAAACCAGGAACACCAGAATAGAAGCATATCACTAACCACTAACTGTTAATGTCTTCCAGCTGAAAAACTAGCTGTTATTTGTTGAAAATTATACTGAAATCCAACTGTAAACATGGACCTGCAGATGGCATAGTGCACGCAAAACAAGTGCGAGATTCGCAAATGTTTTACTTGGGAGGTGACAGGAAAAAATGTAACGGGCACTGTAAAAGTTTTCAAAAAAGGTCAATAATTTTAAAAAATGTGTGGTTACCCCTACATCTTATGTTTTGAAATGGAAGTGGCAATTACACGTGACTGGTTTCTGGTTGTGAGCAAAAGGTATTTAGACTATATTTTAGCTGAACCAGAAGAAGGCTGTCGGAGACACTAAAAGTGCTGTTGCAACAATTTTGTTATTAAAAACATACCAAAAATAGTTTTTATGTTACCATTTACCATATAGTTTTAAGATCATTGTAACTGTCTGCTTTTCTGTATGTAAAGGCGAATTCTCAGGAAATCTGTGAAGAAATATCCTTTCCTTCTTTTTTCAGAAAAATGCTGATGTCAGCATTTTTGTTGAGATTCAAGGCTAATTATCTTGAAAAATGCGTGGCTACCCCAATTTTTCTTTGTGGATTTCAATAGCCCTTGCAAAGATCTACTTTTTCCACGTGGTCCTAACCTGGCGCAAAAACCTTTAGTAAGCACTGCGCTTAAGTTGAGCCAAAAATGTTCCCTCTTTCCTTTCTAGCAGAAACTGCATGAATCCATGTCACTTAATACAGACGTCTTATGTTCTGTTGAGGGCAACTAAGAAGTGTACCACCTTTATAATCCATTGACCATACCATTGGCTAAATGACTACTAATGTGTCACCACCATACTTCTCAAATGAAGTTGCAGAATTTTTTTTTCCCCACTTTGTGACTGCTCTCTTGATGCTACGAGTGAAACTGCCTGTTGTTGATAGAATTCACCTACAAAGTAACAAGTTTGCCACGGGTGTGGAGAACAAGGCTTCATGTACTGGTGACTCAAAAGTTAATGACAGCCCTTACTCTGTTGGTTTATTTTTGTATTGCAGGAGGACAATTTTTCAGACATTTGTCATGAACTTCTTCAAAACCCTAAGGAAGGTTCAGTAAGGAAATTTTCTGATTACATGACAGAGGTTAGATGTTGGGCACTATATACTGTAGTTATGAAATAAATAAAGTTTGAGGCGTGAAGTGCTGAGTTGGCTATAATCATCTCATATCCAACAAGTGTGACTGGAATAATTATTTTATTAAAAGCACCCATTATATAGAAAACTAGGCTAAAATAACATTAAAAAATGCCCCCCAAAATCATATATAATGAATGGCTCATTACCCATTATGGCTGAGCCAATTAAAACTCTTGGATTGCATTATCCAGTGATCCAGGTTTTAATAATTAAAATTATAACATAGCTAGTAAAGCTGTGTTATATAATTATTAGTGTGGATCTAAATCCAGTGATGCACACTCTCAAAATGAGCAAAGTAAACTTCACCTTGCCAGATAAATTTTTTTCTTCCACTAGCGGTTGTCATTATACTATTGCTTCCATTTGCAATGTTCTGAAATAATTGATTCAGGCTTTTAGCTTTGTAAAATAAAGCTATGATACACTTGCAAAGTTGGAGATTACTCAATAAGCTAGATTTGCTCTCAGCTGTGCTTTAAGCAACATCTGCATGTGTTGAGGGTGTGTGTCATTTATAACTTGATGGATGTTAAAGCATGAGTCAGTTGTTAACACTATACAGAAGCTTTTGCCAATACTCATGTACTCTTACTTAATTAATCAGAGTTTATGCGGGCACACTATACACATGTAGTGAGCCTGCTGGCCTCTCCTCTACCTTTGAATGCAACAGTCTATAACTTTTTTTAACTTAACTGTTGTTGTTTTCAGGAGTTAAAATCAGGACGTATCAACCAGCTGTCTCAAAGTTTCAAGAACATTACTGATGCCATCGGGGACCTTAGTGAGACAGGAAACTCTACTCTGGAACAGCTCTTTAGCTTGGATCTTCATTTGATTATACGATTCAGTTAGTCTTTCTTTAATGTTTTTTTCCCCTGGCATGTTTTAAAGCACTCAAAATCACATATAACTTTGTGTCTTTGTGTGTCTGTATGCATCTGCAATTAATATGGTTGCATTTACTATGTTGTACTAGAGTGGATTTGCATGGAGTTGTCATGGTTACTTAAATCATGTGGATTAAGTAATGTAAAGTAATGTGGTTGTTTCTGTTTTAACCCATATTTATAGACTGTTGAATTCAATGGTTCTGTGTTTTAGTAACCCTCTCATACAAAGAATTTTTGGAATGTACACTTGTTCGCAAATTAAATGAAAACTTGTTCATGAAAAAGGATATCTGCACTTTGTTCATTACAACATGCATGCCTCTAGTTGCAGTTAACTTCCCCTATATTAATTAACTGTGTTCTTCTACAGCTCTACTGATGATCATTAACTTCCTTTATAATTATTATAAAGTGTATGCTACTATGGCTCTGCATTTTAGCCAATGTCGCAGGCATGACAAACTTTATGCTCTACATGTATATTTTAGTCAAAACTTCATTAACATTACAAACTGTATGTTTCTGCTGTTCTATGTTTTTAGTCATAACTACATCTACATTACAAACTGTATACTTAAGAGACTTGATTTACAATTTATCTTTGTACAGTTCCTCTACATTTTAAATGTTTTAATAGGTTTAAAGCGGCTCTACATTTCATCTCTTAGTTTAGTTACAGTTTTATCTACTTTATAAACTTCGCTTCAACAGATGCGAGTTATTGTTCTGAGCATTATAATTAATAACGAAACAGAATAATCAAGATGGAACAGTCAGTATCAAGATGAAACTATCATTATCAAGACAGAACAATCAGTAACAAGGGGGATAATCAGTGTCAAGACAGAACAATAAGTAACAAGACGGAACAATCAGTAAAATATGAGGAGACAATCACTAACATGATAGAATGATCATGAACAAAACAGAATACCGTACAGTTGCAGCCGCACCCTGAGTTTGGCAACTCAAATTTTGGAAAAAAGTGTTTGGAAAGAAATCAAAATAATTCACAGGTGGAGTCTTAAGAAAGATTCTTTACATGTAGATTTCTTGATTTATTGAATGTAAACCCACGTAAACTCACTAACATTGAAACAGAGAACTGACTTTGAACTGAAACCCTTACCTACAAAATTTTAGTTCTGTAATAGTATGTGGACATGATGTCTACTGACTTTGACATGCATATATGTTTGATCTTTCTCTGGTATTTTCAACCCATATTTTTTCATCTCTGTCAGTTTTTCAGTAGAATTTTACATACAACAACAAGAATACTTTCATTCGTTTTTTCATACGTTGTAGCTTCGTAGCCAGGCATTTCACCAAGAGATGAGGTACTGGACACAATAAGCTTTCAAAGCTTCCTTTAATCCCAACTCTGTGTGACAATGTAAACAGCGTTGTGATGAAATGGAGATTCCCTGCTGATCGAGAGTGACATTTAGTTGTTCTAGAATGGCGACCTTAAACTTGGTAAAATATTTGTTAACGAAGATTTAATGCTGTTTAAAAGCAATAAATGTTAGCTTACATGTATGCTTATAAGCAAAAACAGCTTTTAGGAGCCACCAAACTTGTAAAAACAATGATCGATGCATACTCTGATATTAGTTTCATGAAGTTCTTATGAGTTTGCTATACAGACTCATAAATTTGTGATGAAAAGTGTTAATTTATGCACATTTATGGCATGTTGTCCAGATGTTCTCGCAGATAAGCCGCTTGCCTGATTTTAAGGAAAATTTTGAGTAACAAGGTGTGGCTTATCCACCAGTGTTTACCAAGGCTGTTGCCTAAGGAAATTTTTAAGGAGCCCTTCAGGCTCCTAACTTCAAAAGGAGCCCAGGATTAAATTTGCCGTGGTCAATCGAGGGGGTTGGGGAAGATTGGGGGGGGGGGGTTTGAGTGAATTGTGGTGCTTTAGGGTAGGGGTTCAGGGGTAGAGATTTTCCGTGAGACACTAATATGGTCTAATGTCAATCAAATGTTTGAAATAAAGTGTTCAGCAAAGTGATCAAGCCATGAATGAGGAGGAATACTATTTATGGTGAAACAAATTCAATAATTGATGTATCCATACAAGTGCTGCAGTTTTTTTTACAAAAAATTATATTGCTGCTTTTGTTTTTGAGTTTTGCAATTCTATTTTAACAAAACAAAATGCATTGTACAAATCATGAAATGCAAGCTGCAAATGAAAACAAATAAAAATGAAAGAGGCATTCGGGGGTTGAATTTGGCCTCACTGAAATCTGCTTTCCTTCCCTGGGCTCGGGACAGTAGTATAAACTAAAGGTGACTTGGAGGCAGCATTACCACATTATATTGGCCACCGCTTCTTTGCAGAAAATATATTCTTGTATATTGGGCCGTCGTGTCAATTAGTCGTGACAATTCGTTTGATAATTTAAAAGATAAAACCCTAGCATGCAAAAAGAATTGCAATGATGTGTTCTTTTTGCTGGCTAGTTACTTGAATTGTTCTTTCAGAAACTACAGAAATTCATTCAGTACATCTAAGTGAAGTTTTCCAAAGTATGGGACAAAAAAAGCCCAAGTTATTTTTTTGTAAAAAAATATCTCTCAGTCGGCACGTCAGGTATGTTATGGACGGGTCAATGGGTGAGTGAGTGAGTGAGTCAGTGAGTGAGTGAGTGAGAAATGTATGTATGTCACACCAATCAGATTGGATCTACTATAAACAGCCAATCAAATTTCTTGT